GGTTAGGTGGGAAATGAATGGATGGCTAAAATTACAAGACTAAAAGTAAAACTAGAAAATTGAAATAAACGTAAATTACAATGTTAATTTTATATTAATTTCAATGCATTATGAACATATTTTTTTTAAGTTAAATTATTATGAATTATAATTTTTTTTATTATATAACCGGTCCAACCAATTAATCTAACAGTTGAAACAGTGAACCATTGATCTAGTCCCTCTATCGGTTCAATGTGCGGCCTAGTTCTGATAACTATGATTTACAGACTGAGACTAGACCACACCAATCCAAGGATATTTAAAAAAGGGCACACTCCCAGACTATCCAAAGGAAGCCAAGAAACTAAGATTAAGGGTGTCTAGATATGTTATCCTACAAGACACCCTCTACAAGAGAAGCTACTCACTCTCATTGCTCTGTTGCCTCTCTCAAGATGAGTCCAACTACTCCATGAGAGATTCATGAGAGAGTATGCGAAAATCATTTTGGAAGACGCATTCTAGCCCACAAGGCAGTAAGATAAGGCTACTATTGGCCAAACATGAATAGAGATGTCTGGGACTTTGTAAAAAAATGCAACAAGTGTCAACGCTTCGTCACTGTGCCGAGACAGTTACCATAGGGGTTGACCACCATCTTAGATCCTCTGCTCATGAGTTGTAGCTAGTGAAAATTCATCATGATAGCCATTGACTATTTCACAAAATGGGTGGAAGCCGATTTGGAGTGCTCTGCACCATAGTGAGGGACATCGCCAAACAATTCAACAATAAACTCCTCAATGCTTTTTGCACTAATTTCTAGATTAAACAACCCCACTCTAGTCCTACCTATCCCCAGGAAAATGGACAGGCTGAGGTCACCGTAAGAACTATACTATACAATCTGAAAGCCAGACTAGAAAGCACCAAAGGATATGGGTAGAAGAAATTTCAGGTTGCTGTGGGCATACCGAACAACACCTAGAAGCCCCACTGGTGAAACTCCTTTCTCTCTTGCCTTTGGCACTAAAGTAATCATACTTGTCAAGATTGGTGTCCACTCACTTAGGGTCCAACACCATGATCCTAACACAAATAAAGAAGGTTTTCGTGTTAACCTCGACTTGATAGAGGAAGAGAGAGACATGACTATGACCAGGAATGCGAAATACAAGCGCCACATGACCATGTACTATAACTCAAGGGTGAGGCCTTGCTCTTTGTTACTTGGAGATTTGGTCCTTAAGAAGGTAATGCTGGCCGCTAAGGACTCAAGAGAGGGAAACCTAGGACTAAACTAGGAAAGGTCATAAACTATGACATAGACTGTGAGGCCAAACACTTACAGGATCTAGAATTCTGAGGAAAAAGTTCTACCCCATCCATGGAATGTTGAACATCTAAAAAAAGTACTACCAATAGTATTTTTTTTATTTCTTATTTTGATTAGCTATTTTGTATTTCTTGGAGGCCACCTGCCCACCGATGTTTATTACAAGCAATTATCAAATAAAGCTTCAAGGATTCATCATAGAAATTGNAAAAGGGCACACTCCCAGACTATCCAAAGGAAGCCAAGAAACTAAGATTAAGGGTGTCTAGATATGTTATCCTACAAGACACCCTCTACAAGAGAAGCTACTCACTCTCATTGCTCTGTTGCCTCTCTCAAGATGAGTCCAACTACTCCATGAGAGATTCATGAGAGAGTATGCGAAAATCATTTTGGAAGACGCATTCTAGCCCACAAGGCAGTAAGATAAGGCTACTATTGGCCAAACATGAATAGAGATGTCTGGGACTTTGTAAAAAAATGCAACAAGTGTCAACGCTTCGTCACTGTGCCGAGACAGTTACCATAGGGGTTGACCACCATCTTAGATCCTCTGCTCATGAGTTGTAGCTAGTGAAAATTCATCATGATAGCCATTGACTATTTCACAAAATGGGTGGAAGCCGATTTGGAGTGCTCTGCACCATAGTGAGGGACATCGCCAAACAATTCAACAATAAACTCCTCAATGCTTTTTGCACTAATTTCTAGATTAAACAACCCCACTCTAGTCCTACCTATCCCCAGGAAAATGGACAGGCTGAGGTCACCGTAAGAACTATACTATACAATCTGAAAGCCAGACTAGAAAGCACCAAAGGATATGGGTAGAAGAAATTTCAGGTTGCTGTGGGCATACCGAACAACACCTAGAAGCCCCACTGGTGAAACTCCTTTCTCTCTTGCCTTTGGCACTAAAGTAATCATACTTGTCAAGATTGGTGTCCACTCACTTAGGGTCCAACACCATGATCCTAACACAAATAAAGAAGGTTTTCGTGTTAACCTCGACTTGATAGAGGAAGAGAGAGACATGACTATGACCAGGAATGCGAAATACAAGCGCCACATGACCATGTACTATAACTCAAGGGTGAGGCCTTGCTCTTTGTTACTTGGAGATTTGGTCCTTAAGAAGGTAATGCTGGCCGCTAAGGACTCAAGAGAGGGAAACCTAGGACTAAACTAGGAAAGGTCATAAACTATGACATAGACTGTGAGGCCAAACACTTACAGGATCTAGAATTCTGAGGAAAAAGTTCTACCCCATCCATGGAATGTTGAACATCTAAAAAAAGTACTACCAATAGTATTTTTTTTATTTCTTATTTTGATTAGCTATTTTGTATTTCTTGGAGGCCACCTGCCCACCGATGTTTATTACAAGCAATTATCAAATAAAGCTTCAAGGATTCATCATAGAAATTGTCTTGCTTTTCATTTCACAAAAAATTCAGAACATAGGACAATAAAAAAAAAAAAAGGAAAGCACAAAAACAAAAAGTAAAGTCTATCAAGCATCCTCGACATTTGGATACTTTTGCTATCATTGTCCTCCTTGCTGCTGTCTGACGCATTCTCACCAGAATCCTCTCCATCGTCATCACCATCTATGCCCGATACCTCATACGGGACAAATGTCAAAAAGTCTATGCTAGGAAAGACAATTGAAACTTTCCCACTGAATTTCTCGTAACCATCAATGAAAGCATCTGTTGCACTATCCTGCAGGTCATAAACTGTCTTCTCTAAAGCCTCCCTTCTCCTCTCTTTCTCTTGGGAGTCGGCATCTGCTCTGATATCCCTCTCATAAGCAAACAAAATCTTTGCCTTTACTACGGTAGCCCTCTTGTGAGCTACCCACAGCTCAGCCTCTATTGCGGTACCCTTTCATAAGCTACCTGTAGCTCTACCTCAACTTTGATAGGATTCTCATGAGCTAACTACAACTCTACCACTACTCTCAGGTAAGCAGCCTCAGTACCAACCTCCAGCATAGCTGGTCATTCATGAGATGCCAAAAGCTCTACGTCAAGAGGTATAGCTCTCTCGTGAGCTTCCTTCAACTACCCCTCGACAGCCCACAATGTCTACCTCTCCCTCATTAGAGTTATCGATGTCTACTCATGCTGACTAACCCTCATAAAAAGACAAATAATGGACGTAGACACCTACAAATATACAAAAAGAGGAAATGGTTAATCCAATTAGAGGATACGAAGAATAAAAGTCCATAGAAAAAGAATTACAAATGATTACCTTGGCTAAACCCTCCATCATAGTATTAATAATGCCCTCGGTACCCTAATAGCTAACTTCCCTAATCTCCAAGAGCGACTCAAACTTCAAGAGACACTCCCTAGCAACATTCACAACCTAAAGCATGAAAACTGGACCATTGGTGGACGCCGGAGAAGTAAATGGCGCTCCAATCTACACAAAAGAAGGAGTCACTATCTTTGTAGACATCCTAACTAGCGGAGCAACTGAGTGGGGCACTTGGATAACTAGAATAGGAGGAGTCACCTTCAAGGAGTCTGTAGGGGCATCATCCAAACTCATCCTCTTGGGCGAAGAAGCCATCTAGGCAGCCTTGGCAGAGTAGCGAGCCTCCACCCTTGATCTATTTACTACGGAGCCTGAATAGAAGTAGGCACATTTTAGAAATTGAAAGTTCCACTACACTCACCATTAAAAATAACATACCGCTCTTCTTCGAGGAGGAGTCGTGAGCCTGTGGAGAAGAAGATGAAGTGGAAGAACCTCATGAGGGGAGACCTCCAACCTTATCCACTCTAGCCATGAGTACTGTATAATCCTTAACAGGATGGGCCCTTACGGCCTAAAGCTTTTTCTCTTGATCTGTTGACAATTTTGGAAAACCTGAAAAAGAGCTAAGTGCATGGTGAAGACATAAAGGACAAATCAACTAAATAAATTTAAGGAAGGGAAGGTTTGTACCTATCCTCGTGGGTGCATCCCATCTCACTGGAATCAGAGCGTGATCCTCCTTAGTAGCCCACTCCCCTCTAGAAATTAAAATTCAACCTTCCAACCGTGACAGTTGGAGTGTAATCCAGTAATCAGTTTTCCCACCCTCGGGGAGAAATGGTACCAACCTCGATTTGGAGTAGGGTTCTCCTATAACATATAGGTGGCAGAAAATTCTTCACAAGTGGAAGAAGTGCCCATCCCATGCACCCGTGGCCACAATGAGAGGAATTCCAACAACACCGTCCAACAATTTGGAGCTAGTCGCGCTGGTAAGAGTGACAATTGTGCCAAAACATAACACACAAGCATAGGAATGGGAAATCTTAAACTTGCCTATAGTAACTCTTCATAAATGGCAATGTCCCCAAAGGAGTCATTAGAAGCAGGCTCACCCGTCTTGGCCTGATGATATAGCACAGTAAAGGAAATACAAAAAGTGGCAAAAATTTGAACAATCTCAACATTAGTATTAATATTAGTAAAAATAGAGCTCACCTTAGAACCATCGTCATCAACAACTAGTTTATCGCGATACCTGGGTCGCGGTGTGCTAGGGGGATTGCGGGTCCTACCTCTATCATCTCTCATCGCCAGGTTGCATGAACTATCCACACTCTTGTTAGACCTAGCACCACCCACACCTGCACCACCTATTCCCACACACCCACACCTGCCCCTGCCCAAGCGCCTATTGCGCCCCCGCTCCGACGACCACAACACCCATGCCCCTAGCACCAGAATCTCTTGCTCTACCGCAGTCCGTGCCTATGGTGTCCAACACCCTAGAATTCGCCTCCCCTACTCTGCCATAGCTCGAGCCCATGGCGCCTAGCCCGAAGCTTGTCTCTCCTCCTCTGTCACCCATGGTGCCCGCGACTTGTGCGCTGCCTTTGGTGCCATGCATCGTGCCCAGTGCCTTTCCACGCACTGTCTGTGCCCTGCCACCCACTGTCTGTGCCCCTTGCCTCAATTTTTTTGCCACTCGTGGCACCTAGCCGCACGCCCTTAGCACCCTGCATGGCACCCCTGGCTCCCTTCACGCTTGCCTCGTTTGCTCCATCGCCCGTGGCACCCGTTGCCTATGCGCCACCCATGGAGCCCAGTGTCCTAGTGTCCAATTCTTGAGTGAAGCAGGCACAAGTTTTCTCTGAATTGGCTACCCTTGACTTGGCCACAGAAAGCTGCTTCGTCGCCTCGATGATTCTTTTTTCGACATCAATAAACGAAGCCTTGACCTTATCAGGTTCCCCCTTGGCGACTTGGCTCTCTTTGAAGAGCCCGGCAATTTGGCCGCCTTGAGTGTGTAGATCACCTCCTCCTTAGCCGTGGCGAGTGCCCCTTGGGCTTTCTCAAGGTCAGCTTGGAGTCTCTCACACTCTTAGACCTTGTCCCGATGGGCATGGAAATGCTCGACAATGATGGACACTTGTTAAGCCGCCTGGAAGACAAAGGGAGGAAAGTCACACTCAAAAAGACGCTAAAGCAAAAAGAAATTTTTTTAAAAAAGTGTTGAAGCTTACCACCAATGAATTTTAGATAAACGCCTTTGTGCCCACCTTGCCTGCTCCATCGCCCGCGCACCCTACACCACCCCTTAGTGCTCACAGCCTTCTTGGTGCCCTAAATACTATCGCCTATGCCCCTAGCACCCTGCACGCCCACCTTGTCTGCTTTTCCACTTGTGGCGCCCACTGCCTACATGCTACCTTGACTCCTTAAACCGTACCCACTTCTTGCACCCCCACGCTCTCCTCACCTACTCCGTCACCCGTGGTGCCCACCTCATCTGCTCTGCCACCCGTGGCACCCACCTCACCTGCTTTGCCACCCATGGCTCCCCGCCTGCACACCTTGGTGCCCTATACCGCTCCCCTAGCGCCTATTGCTTGCTCGGTGCCCATTACGCCCACATAGCCCAATGCTTGGGCTCCCTGCACCAAGTTGCCCTCGCTAGCCTAATTGTCGGCGTCCACCCTTTGCTCCTTGCCTCTCTCGATCTTCTCATCTGTTTCTTTTTGCCTTAGATGTACGAAGTGCTTCTTTAGCCTTCAATATTAGTGTTTGGTTTCCTATTAAAAGGGTTAACCAAGGAGTTCCTACTTCTAAGTAAATCCGTCGCTAAAAAGGCTATTGTTGCTAAAAGGGTTGGTAAAAGGGGACCAAGGCAACATCGCGAGATCTTTTACTGATGCCCTCTCCCCAAAATCTTGAACTCTGGGATGGGGAACAAATGATGGGCCCGGCCTAGACTGAGATCAAACCACAGATGTTGAACAACAAAAGCCTTGTCAAAATGTGTATGTGGCCTAGCCCATTTTCCTAAGAGGTCCAGTCCATCATAAATGCATGTGGGCATCTCCGTCCGAGGAGAATAAATCATAGGTACATAGTCATTTGGGACACATCGCCAACCTTGCAAGATTACCTCGCCTATTATAAGGTAGAGCAAGCTTTAAGAGATCACCCCTCTATCATGTCATCCGTTATAAGGGTAGGGCAAGGCTCACGGCATCACCCCACTCCTTGTAAGGATAACGCATCAATCAGAAGCCCTCGGTGCTAACTTCGTTTGCCTATAAATTGTAATCCCTACCTATACATGGGGAGCATGAAACATATTTCAGCACACTACACTTTTGGGCAATAAGATTCTCCAGCCACTATAGCCCTTCATAGTGGAATAGGTCACCCAGACCGAATCCACCCAATCTCTGTGTTTGCTTGTGTTGACCACCTCTTACTTCATCCATTGATTGATTTTGCATAAACACTTTTGTGCATCATCAAGTTCTATAGTGCCTTACTAATTATTCATTGGGTATGATTTGTGTCATCTAGCAATTTTTTTAAAAGACAAGATGAAGATATTTCTCAATTTATTGCTTTCTAAATGGCCAAAGCATACTTTGATCAATTATGAATGGAATATGAGACATACTTTTATCAATTCATACTCATACTCTGATTTGAGTTTCAAGTTAATTAGAAAACAATATGTTTGCACTAATTTAAAAACTTAAAAAAAAAAAATTATTCATATCTAATCTATATGAGTTTTGGCCCAACCTATAAGACTTGTGGACATTCCTATTTTCCCTTAATTCTACTGATTTAAAACCCCATATCAATTTAAATTTAATGCTAAATTTCACTTGAGATTTATTGCTTGTTTACGACATTTGAATAATGTTTGTGTGTTTCCCTTCAATTTTGATTAGGATTGCATAGCTTATTCTTCCGGTGAATTCATCAATTTGAATGTATTAGTATGGTGATACAACCTTTTTTTCATTTTTTTTTTTGCCCAATTCTCCTTTGAGTAGTAATACCCATAGTTATGACAAACAATTATCTCAATAATTTCTTAATTGTCGCATAAACCCGCAACTTGTGAGAAAAATAATATGTGAACCATTGATATGCAATGTATGATGCAATATATATGTGGTTCTCATAATTTTTCGAATGAGGCCTCAAATGCAAGTGAAGAGATCGCATTGGGATTTGTATTAGAAATACATTGAAGAGAATTGGAGCAAATAAATTTACAAAATTTGGGAGCTAACCAACTTTTCGAGGCTTACCATGCATGGTTGGGTTCAAACCTCATCTTAATCTCCTTAGATCTGTAGTTATATCCTGTTATTGGGAATTTTCATGAACTTGAACCTTTTCGAAGTAGCAATGAACTGATTAGTTGAACTAAGTTGTCTAGTAAAAATGAGCTAAGATGTTCCTTGGACCAAAGCTCATTAATCCAAGGTCCTCTTGCCTAATTTTGGCAATACTACAAAGAGATTGAATTCTTTCTGGATGATCCGTGTTTACAACATCTAATTAGGTTTTGACAAAAAAGCCTAATTGAGCTGGTGAGGAAGCTTCAAACGGTTTAAATAGCCTTAGGAATGGCGGTTACAAGAAACAGTCTCATTTAAACTGAAAAGAAGTTAACACGCAATCAATTTTTGAAAACTGAGGAAGTAATAGACAAAAAGTAACGGGAGGCATGGTCCATGATGTAGCCATGTTGGGTAAACCTTATTAGGGGCAACTGATATGAAAAAAAAAATAATTACAGTAATGGGAAATCTCTAGGGATGCTCCAGCTTTTGTAATATTACCATTGGAAGACTTGGGAGTGTAGGGAAAGCTGAAAGCAAATAGAATCTTGATAATAAGCCAAGGTCATCAACACGTTTTAGGTGGGAAAATAGTTAAAAGGTGGACACCCAGAGGATGAGTCTTTGCCTACAACCAAGCTTATCTAAGATTCAAAAGACTCTCCCGCGAGGAGGAGTCCTTCCAACCACTTAGAAAAATAGACTCCAACCATTACGGGAGTTATGCAAGGGTAAAAGAAGTCTGACTCCTCAAATACAAGGAGTCTACTCCTTCCCAAAAAAAATTGAGGAGCTTAGAGTCTGCTTCACACCAACTATCCATTCAAATAATATAAAAAGGGAGCCTAGGGGAAGACCAGAGGTACAAAACATCAATACTTATATATGCCTTGAGAACTTTTCCAACAATTACTAACTTAAGCATCAGAGGGTTGACCACCAGAGCTCCCCCTCTAGTCTTCAACTTTCTTTTCAGGTCTCTCAGCTTGCAGAAACCTCATTTGGAGTCCCAAAGAGCTAAACCAACACTACAAGAAATTGTTCAAACCATTTCGAAATGTGAAGAAAAACATGGAAACTAGCTCATAAACTTGCATAAAAGTTGGTAAGATTTTTGCACCAACAATGACCAAGGGATCATCATGTGGAAAGTAGACTCCTTTAAGGTATTCATCCAAAAAGCTAATTGGTGGGGGTGATTCTGAGAACCTGTCTTGCATGTATTGGGCTAATTCTTCTTGATTAGGGTCTGTTCAAGCCCTTTGTGCATATGGTCGTCCTACCGAACTACTCTCTCCTTAGGTTGCCAATCCTATTGAGATTACCTTTATTTCACCCATGGCTTGTTGTTGTTCATGACCTTCCAGAGCCAAAGCTCTGTCTTCTCTCTTGTTTCTATCAACAAATCTTTCTAGATGGTCTCACTTGATTAGGCCCTCTATCAGGTCCTTAAGAGTAGTATAGTCCCATGTGTCATGCGTGTGGTGTAGATGAAACCGATAATATTTATCCCTTACTCTCTTATGAGGAGGTGTCCTCAGTTTTTTAGGCCATTTAAGGACATTATTATCTTTTACTTGAAATAGGACATATTCCACCAAGGTGTTTAAGGGGGTATACCTCTATAACTTTCTTAGGAAAATTGAGGCCCCAATCTTTTTCTTACTGCATGCCACTCAACTAGATCTTCCTTTCTTTAAAGTTACGGTCTTTTCTAGCTTTTACTTATCTTTTTATTTCTTCTCCAAGGAGTGATCTTCTCCTCTTTTTCTAGAATTTAGGGCATCCTTCACATTCATATGGTTTTGATTTCTAGAAAGGAGATCTGCCGTACTTGTACGAGGAGCCTAATTTAGTGAAAATAGAAACCTAGAGGGTTGTAGTCCTCCCATGAAGACAGTCAAGGCTATTTTCTCATCTACATTGTCAATTTGTAATGATTGCTCAGTGAAATGTGCTAATAGTCCTATAGAGAATCTCCTTTCCCTTACTTGAGGCTTAACAAGTAGGTGGCTAGCTTATTGTATTTCACCCCCGGAAAAATGGGATAAAAAATACTTGCTCAACTCAATAAACAATCCAATAGACCTGGGGGAGCCTATTGAACCAAAGTTGGGTTGCTCCCTTAAGAATTATAGGGAAATCGTGGCACATAATCTGGTTTGGAACATTGTGAAGCAGCATGAGAGACTTGTATGTCTCTAGATGGTCCAAGGGATCATTCTTTCCATCATATCTTTCAATTTAAGGAAGCCTGAATTCATGGGGGCAAGGAATAGTGTGTAACATCATGTGAAAATGGGGACTCCAAGCGTTTAACCAATGTCTCCACAGTCTCGAGCGCCCTGGATTTGACTATATTAAGTAAGTCTCTGATGTAATCATTCATCTCCCTGAACTTCTGGTCCAAGGATTTTTCCTCCCCTTGTTGGTAAAGGGTATGGTTGTGGTTGTGATCATCTCTTGTATCTCTTCTTTGATTGCTTTTAGTTTCCCCTTAATGAGAGACTTTTTAAGGAGGCTGAACAGCAAGCATCTACAAGATCTACAGAGTTTTTGGGCCAATTCTTCCATGGTCTAGTTCATTCTATCGTAATTCCTATACAGGTTGAGCATTTTCTTAGTTTCTTGCCTCTTGTTACCTCGAGGGGTTGTCTGTCCTGATTGTCCCCTTCAACCAATTCCTATGAAAGTTATTCTATGGGAAGGTTATCTCTAATTATATACATTGATCTAGTAGTTGCCATTCACATTTATACTTCTAAAAGAATTATAAGAATGTTACGAAATTTCCAGTCATTTCCCACAGACGACGCCAACTTGTTAGTGCAAAATTTTTCCCAACCTTCACGTAGACTAAGTTGAACTCTATTTATCTCCAAGTAAGCTTTTTAATGATCCAGGTCAGATTTTTGAACTCGAGAAGTCCTACAAAGAAGTACAAGAACCGGAAGGGGGAGCTCAGTGTGTCGATCCCCTGATGCTTAAGTTAGTAATTTGGTGAAAGTGGGATAGGTTTATTTAGGAACAGAGTTATGTATCTTTTATGCTTCCCCTGAGCTCCCTTTTATAGTCTAGGAATTAGTTTCCATAGGGGAGTGGAATCCAGGCTCCCCTATGTGCTATTGGGAAATCAGACTCCTCTTGTTTGAGGAGTCTGGTTCTCCTTACCATCTCTTGAGGCGTGGGAAATTAGACTCCTCTTGTTTGAGGAGTGTAGTTCTCCTTACCATCTCTTGAGGTAGGCAAGACACGTTTTGAATGAGGAGTCTTTGACTATTTCTCCAATTGTTAAGGAGCTTGAGACTCCTCTGAGATGAGTGGTCTGAACCTTTTTCCCTCCAAATGGGGATTGCAGATTCTATTAAGGAGTCTTTTGAATTTTGAATTGCTGATAAACTTATCGTTTAGCCTTCGTACATGAGGCAGTTGTGGGGAAAGGGGGGGTTACTAGGATTGGTGAAGCTCAGATCTTTTCCCATCCAGGTTGGAGATCAGCAGGTCTCCCAACATTAACTTTTTTAATGGGCTACTTTCGTCAAAGTTTTACTCTAATGGAGTTGCTGATTTTTTTTCCCACGTCATCAAAGATTTTTAATTTGTAGCCTTTTAACTTTGTATCACATTGGTATCTGATGTATTGAATTTATTTTTAGTGATCCCCACGTATAATATTATCTAAATGTTTAACAATTTTTGCTCATGTGCTTTAAACATGCTCCCAAATAAAGGGTATTTTAAACAAATGAACTGTCTAATTGATCCAAACATTGCGACAGTAATCGCCAAAGTATACTCTCCATCTCATTTTAGTCCCCCCAACATTGCAATAGTATCACATTAGTCCTTAACGTATTGTAATGTTGAGGGGCCAAAATGAGATGGAAAGCATACTTTGGGGACTATTTTTGTAATTTTTGTGTCAAGTAGACAACAATTTGTCTAAAATACCCTTCATTTGGGAGCATGTAGGAAACACATAAGTAAAAATCGTTAAAAATTTGGACAGCGTTATACGCGGTGATCATTTAAAAACAAATTCAATACATCAATACAATTGTAATATTAGGGACCAAAATGAGATGATGTGCAAACTTTGGGAACCACGGTTGCAATTAACCCTTTTTTTAAATGCTAGAAATGTGCTTCAAAAGTAACATGCCATTTGTTTTTTTCATGAATGACACTTGTCGTGCAACTGGGTAAAAAAAAAACAATGTATTGCTTTTTGGACATATAGTACTACTTAAAATATTCTGGGTGCAATTTGGAATATTTATGTTTGAGTAAGTAGAATAAAAATTTTAAAATCTTATAGGAACAAAATTCCATTTAGCCTCCAAATTGTGAGCAAATGATTGTCAAATGGTCACAAGAGAATCCCGAATCACAGTCATATCATAACTTCAACATTGTACATTAGAATAATAAAATTACAGTTAAACTGATATATTGAGTGCGATAAACATTATAACCTTCAAAATACATAGTTCCTTAGCATTTATAGCTTACTCAAATGCTGCAGAAGCAGGCTTTGGAGGATTGTAGAGAAAGATATCAAGAAGCTGTTCAACTGTAGTGAATTGCAAATCCGGATATAGCCTTGAAGCATCTATTTCATTTGATCCTATATCAAAGTTAATTGTCACACCCTTAACAAAAAGACTGTGTAGGATGGATACTGGTATGTTGTCAGGATGAGGGAGAGCTGCAACAGTACATATAGAGAATGAGCAATGCTACGTGGACTTAAAAAGTAGACTTAAAAACTGGACTTGATAATCTCAACCATTGATTTCACTGTAAGTCACAACATTTATTGGGACCCACTACCTATTCAATAGTTGAGATTATCAAGTCTAATTTTTAAGTTTATCTAGCATTACTCATAGAGAATATCAGTATTCTTCTTGTTAAAGTCTTAAGCCAATACTTCAATGGGTTCAATAGCTCCTATGTGGGCCTGGTTAGGAAAGATCTCCAACTACAGATAGGATGTTAAAGCTTCAATTTGATTATAGGGGCCCTTAAGGCTTTTGAAAAAATAAAGGTGCTAAAAACATGTATTTCAGCAGAATTGGGGACATGACACCAAAAAGAACAAAAAAAACAAACAAACACTACCAAATAGCTTCGCCTATTGAACCTTTAAAGCTGCTCACCTAAACTGTAATTTTGATTGAAAATGGTGGTTCAGTGCACGAGGGCTTCATCACTATGGATATTCAAACAGTGTCAAATGCAAACAATCTTACATTTACATGCACCAACTAAAGGCCGTGACGCTTAGGTAACCACTGCCACAAGGCTCATTCTCTATAGTTTTAACTGAAAAAGGGATAATATGGTGCATAAGATTCTTATTACTATAGAGTCTGAGCAGGATCAAATGTGGGGAGTATTATTCCATATGTTTCACCCATAACTTAAAATAGAGAAAGCTGTTGAATTTCTAAAAGGTACCTTGGTGGATGAAAACTAACATAAGAAATAATATCTTGAATGAAGTACTTACTCTGTGAAAGGCCCATAATTTCTTCCTCAGAGACATGAACCCTCCTGAAAGTTTGACCAGTTTTCTTCTCCCAAAGACAGATCAATTCAAGTTGTGATGTAGCATTCATCGGAGGTCGATAGATCACAACACGATGGCATGTTCTAGGGTTGGTTGCCACTTTGATTGTACAATTGGCTATATCTTCTTCGCAGTTTAGCACAGCTAAAAATGTCATTTAATATGTCATCAAATTAGGACAAATAAAAATAAGAATTAATTACATATTGACCCGTAAATTATGACCTTTATTTTATGTTACCCGTACTTATATTAATTTGAACATTAAATTATAAAAAATTGTTCACACAAATCATTAACTGTTTCACAGTAATCGTTTAGGGGTACTATTTCCTACAGCGACAAAGTGAGTGGTTCAAAATAAACAATTTGTGCAAAGTATCACAAGGCAAAATAGTTAAGTGTATAATGTGTTTAAATCTGTAATTGAGAGGGTTAGGTAAAATTAGAATGTTAGTTTAAGAGGGAAATACTTTATTAATTTGAAAACCAAAGAAGTTTTGATTGAAAGCTAACGGAAACAAGTATTACCTTTAGTTTCGCCACTGCCATACACAGTAATGTTCTCCCTTTGCGCGTGTGGATGGTGCAAGAAATTCACAAAGTATGAACCAAAGCAGTTAGCGGACACAAAGGTATAGGGGATCCCTGCTGCTTCTATGGCCCTTCGAATCATTTGCTTTTTATTGAGAACAGCTTGGAATGGGGGCAAAACAGTCATCCTATCCTCTTCACATCCGAAGTCTGATGGAAGAAATCTCTGCCATGGAACAAATGAAAACATATTAAATCTAATCATGTCAATTGAATATCCACATTGTATTTTTTTAACAAGGAATCTCTCCACAATAGAATCACATTCAAGTCACCTTCAGAGTAAGCCTTGGGTACCTATGAGCACATTTTAATTGCTTTTATAAGTGAAATCCAGGTGTTACCATGACAAGGTTGAAACCAGGACGTTCGAGTATACGACACACCCCATGGTTCACTCCAAACCACTATGCTACTAGCATTCATTATTCAGCTTGTGTTAGTTAATGTGCGAATCGAATCTGAGTCATGTCATTTTAAACTAAGGTGCACATCGATCGAAAGTGTGCCCTATACCTGCACCGTTTCCTCAAGGATTGAAGAAACCTCAAAGTTTGAATCAAAATGTACAAATATTTAAGTTATTCAAGTAGATGATTGGAAGCAATTGTTAGGATCATATTTCTAATTGACTAATTTCGTGTAGCCTTTTTGTAAATCTCAATCTATTCTATGGTCATGATGCTACAATGTCAAAGATCAAAAATAACAAATGAAGTGAGGAATTCAAGCGACAACGACACATCAAGACTCTCCATATGCACCTTTGTGCTTGGGACAAAGATAAGACATTAGATACCTTCACACCCTTGGTTTAAATTTAGACCTAGGTTGGTTTGGTTAAAATGGAATCAATTATTGATCTGTAAACAACTCCTAGGTGTTCTTAAAAAAAGTTAGGTTAATTGCGCTAGAGGTCCCCAAAGTATGAGATTTGTCTTATTTTGGTCTCTAATGTTTTAATAGCATCATTTTGGTCCCTAAATTATTGAATATGTTTCTATATGGTCCTTCAAGCATACAACGTCCACATTTCTAACGATTTTTTAAAATAAACTTGTCACATAGTACCTAAATATGGACAAAAAATAATTTCGATAACTCTTAAACAAAATTTGGGTAGCTCTGGACAAAAAAAAGTGTAATATGGGTAGCTTTTGACCAAAATTTGGAGCTCATGATCAAAAATGTGTAATTTAGGTAGCTATTTAACTAAAATTTGAGTAGAATTTTGGTCAAGAGTTATCCAAATTATTTTTTTGTCCATATTTAAGTATCACGTGACAAGTTTATAATAAAAAATCGTTAATAATCTAGACACTGTCTACTTGAGGGACCATATATAAACATATTCAATACTTCAGGGACTAAAATGATGCAATTAAAATATTATGGACAAAGTACTTTGGGGACCTCCATTGCAATTAATACAAAAATATTTTTCTAAACCGTCTTGTGTTTTGAAAGCATAGATTTGGGTCATTAATCGGACCCCACTTGAGAAACATCCCTTAATGCTTAAGGGGATAATTTTTTTCTTGGTTTCTAGTTTTAAAACCAGGGACCATCCCCTTCTCGCTTGTCTTTAGATAGAATGGCCTGTGAACACGTAGGAATAAAATCGAGTAAGGATGAATGAGTGCGTACTGGAGGCCACCCTCTGGTTCATTCTCAGGGCACTTAAGTAGTCTTGAGATGGGAGTTCCAACCAAACCCATTGGAGCGTGTGCATACCGAGCTTCTTGGGTGCGTCCTAAGAGTGCTTGAGACCTAAACGAATTGTGTGGCAGTGAGTTCAAGTGAAGTTATCCAAAACGTTGAAGAGAGAATTTCAACAGAGATGTTTATTGAAGGAAATGAGTGTCTAACCATGGTACTGGTTGAGGTATAAGTCCTGAGTACTTGTAAACAGATTTTTGGATATTGGATTAGACTTTAGTGAACTCCGAGTAGTTCCCCGTAGTTTTTTCCAAGAGGGGTTTTTGCATCAACAAATTATTTGTGTTCTTTATTGTTATACTTTTTCACACTTGTGATTTGTAGGCACACACAAGCATTATGTGTTTATGGATTTGATTGTTAGAGAATTCATATCACACATAGTGGTTTGGTCGGTTGTTTCTTGCCTTAGGTCGGATCATCGTGAGAGATTGAGTGTTAAACATTAAAATTGACAAATCCATCACATCAACCTTCATGGTTCATTGAGTTGTTCTTTCATAAAGTGGTTATGAACTTTAATTGACTAACTGAATTTTTAGAAGAGGTAATTGAGGTTTGTCTTTGTGAGCGATGATCCATTATGCATAAGGGTAACATTTATCCTTACAATTGGTATCATAACGAGTCTCCGTTTAAGATTGTTTTAGGCACTTAATAGACACATTGCATATTTGCTTACATTACCTAGTGTTTGTCTTTTTGGAATCTATTGTGACTATGAGTTAGACCTTTAATGGATTCTAAAAAAGAAAGAGGTTTAGGGCTCATACTTACGATAGCTCTTGGACGTTCGTTCACCTGCTAAAAGCTTACTTAGTTTCCAAAGCCCTGCCTTCAAAGAAAGAGACTCTTATGCGTTCGTACTCTAATAACATGATGCACTTCACTCACTGGAAAGAGCACATAAGAGGTTTCTTCTTGAGTTAAGTCCAAGATTTCAATGGGATGAATTATGCTTATTGGAAAGCTTGTATGAGAGCTTTTCTAAAATCAGTTAATGAGTGAGTTTGGTTGTAAATGAAAGATGGATGGAGCCCTCCAATGGTCACTACTTCCAATGAAGGTGGTGAGCCGGTCGTTGAACTAAAACCCCACAATACTTGGACAAAAGCCTAGTATGATTTGTCAGGTGCAACTCAAAAGTCTTGAATATGATATTCAATGTCATATCCCCAAATGAGTTTCATAGGATCTCCAATTCTAAGACTTCTAATGAGGTGTGGGATATTCTTGAGGTCTATCATGAAGATACACCCTTAGTGAAGATGTCCTGACTTCAAGGGTAAACCACCCAATTTGAGACCTTAAGGATGTTAGAGGATGAAACTATTAGAGACTTGTACGCAAAACTTTCTGACACTCTCAGTTCATCATTACCATGAAACCAAGATATCTGAATATACGACACACCCCAGGGTTCACTCCAAATCACTATTCTACTAGCGTTCATTTTTCAGCTTGTGTTAGTTAATGTGCAAATCGAATTTGAGTCACGTCATTTTAAACTAAGGTGCGCATCGAGAGTGTGCCCTATACCTGCACCATTTCATCAAGATTGAAGAAGCCTCAGAGTTTGAATCAAAATGAAGAAATATTTAAGTAATTCAAGCAGGTGAAGATCAAGATTCCACTGTTGGAAGCAAATTTAGGATCATATTTCTAATTGACTAATTTGTGAAGCTTTTTTTGTAAATCTCAACCTATGCCATAGTCATGATGCTAAAAAGTTAAAGATTCAAAATAGCAAATGAAGGGAGGAATTGAAGTGGCAATGACACATCAAGACTCTCCGTATGCACAGTTATGCTTGGGACAAAGACAAAACATTAGATAACTTCGCACCCTTGGTTTAACTTTAGACCTAAGATGGTTTGGTTAAAATGTAGTCAGATATAGATATGCGAATGATTCCTAGGTGTTTTTTTTTAAAAACATTTTTCTAAACCTTCTTGTTTTTTGAAAACATAGATTTGGGTTATTAATCGGACCCCACTTGAGCAACATGCCTTAATGCTTAAGTGGATAAGTTTTAACTTGGTTTCTAGTTTTCAAACTAGTAGGGATCGTCCTCTATTCACTTGTCTTCAGATGGAACGGTTTGTGAACACTTAGGAACAAATTCAAGTAAGGATGAACGAATGAGAAGTGGAGGCTACCCTCTGGGTCACTCTTAGGCCGCTCGAGTAGTCTTGAGATGGCAGTTCCAACCAAAACCATTGGAGAGTGTGCATACCTAGATTCTTGGGTGCGTCCTAGGAGTGCTCGAGCCCTAAATGAATTGTGTGGAGGTGAGTTCAAGCGAAGCTATCCATAATTTTGAAAAGGGAGTTTCAGCAGAGAGATTTATTGAAGGAAATGAGTGTCTAACCATAGTACTGGTTGAGGTATAAGTCTTGATTACTTGTAAATTGATTTTTGAATAGTGGATAGTGAATACTGAGTGGTTCCCCGCGGGTTTTTTTAGAGAGGTTTCTACATCAACACATTATTTGTGTTCTTCATTGTTATATTTGTTCGCACTTGTGATTTGTAGCAAACACGGGGTATTATTTGTTTATTGATTTGATTGTTATAGAATTTATATCATACATAGTGATTTGGTTGGTTGTTTCTTTCCTTGGGTCAGATCACCGTGAGAGATTGAGTGTTGAGCATTAAAATTGACAAATCCATCACATCAACTTTCATGGTTCATTGGGTGTTCTTTCATAAAGAGGTTCTAAACTTTGTTGACTAGTTGAATTTTAAGATGAGGTAATTGAGGTTTGTCTTCATGAGCGATGACCCACTTTGCATAAGGGTAACGTTTATCCTTACAATTGGTATCATAGTGGGTCTTCCTTTAAGATTTTTTTGGGCACTTAATAGACATACATTGCATATTTGCTTACATTACCTAGTGTTTGTCTTCTTGGAATCTATTGTGATTACGAGTTAGACCTTTAGTGGATTCTTCAAAAGAAAGAGGTTTAGTAACCCGATCACCATTTTTTAATAGGATGAATTATACTTATTGGAATGCTCATATGAGAGCTTTTCTAAAATGACTTGATTAGCGAGTGTGGTTGTACATGAAAGAGGAATGGAGCCCTCCAACTGTTACTATCTCCGTTAAAAGTGATGAGCTGGTTATTGAACTAAAACCCCACAATACTTGGACAAAAGCCAAGTATTATTCGTTGGGGTGGAACTCTAAAGTCTTGAATGTGATATTCAATGTCGTATCCCCAAATGAGTTCCTTAGGATCTCCAATTCTAAGACTTCCAATGAGGCGTGGGATATTCTCAAGGTCTGTCATGAATGTACACCCTTAGTGAAGATATACCGGCTCCAAAGGTGTACCACCCAATTTGAAACCTGAAGGATGTTAGAGGATGAAACATTTAGTGACTTGTACGCTAAACTTTTTGACATTCTCAATTCATCATTTGCTCTTGGGTTCAAATATGAGGACTTCATGCTAAATTGAAAGATATTTGAGATCTCTACCAGAGAGGTTTCAAGCTAAGGTGATAGCCTTATAAACCAAAGTCGATTTGGGTAAGGTGTCGATTGAATACCTAGTTGGGTCAATTGTTACTTTTGAGACAAATCTCCTTCCACCCAAGAACTCATAGGGTATGG